ATTATGTTTTTTGATAACTTTACTTTCTATTTTAGTGTTCGTGGTCCGTCATATTCCAAAACATAAGTAAAAAAATGACATCTACCAATCAACGTAAAGTAGTTAGTCTATCATCTGAAGCGAAGGAGGATATCAATGTTATGTAGGGATGGCAACGGGGCGGCCCTCCCTGCCCCGACACGGGGCGGGGGCGGGGGTATGTCCATTCCCCGTTTATTCCCCCATTAAAAATTTTTTTTTTTAAGATTTTGATAATTTATTTTTATTGCCCATATTCATTAGATTTGAACAAATAATTTTAGTTGTTATTTTCTATTAGAACTAATAAAAAATTTCATTTAAAATATTGAATTCTAAAAAAAAAAAATTTTTTTTTAACAGGCCGGGGACCCCGTTACCCGTTTAAGCGGGTTTTTCCGGGGCAAAATTCCCCGCCCCGTTACCCGTTTAAGCGGGTTTTCCCCGCCCCGTTCGGGGCGGGGCCCCGCGGGTATCGAGTTTGTCGGGTTTTTTTGTCATCCCTAATGTTATATGCAAGAAGGAATTTCAGTAACACCAAGTAGATCTGAAAAGTGACATATTAGCATGATAAAGACGACGCGAGTCACTTAAGTTATGAAAATCAAAGAATTTTTCAAGAGAATCAAGCCAATTAAGAAATCAGTCAGGTCCAGTAAGACCATCAAAGTCCCATAGTTGGAGTGCGACTTGCCTTTCCTCGCTAAAGGTCCTAGACGAAGGATAATAGTGTTGATAATTGGAGAGGGAAGGTACATGATTGTGATAATGGCCAAGGACGCGTTGGAGATGTAAGAATTTTTATATGCATTGCCCATTGGGTGGAATCAAAAATATATTCTATTAATCATTCCACTGATTGCTTATCCAACGTCCCTGTCACTTCGTGAGATGAAATGAAACGAATATTAAGTAACAAATATGCTCATGCGTACTATTGATCTCAATTGCTAGACCAATTCTTTTTAACCTGTAAACAAGGTACATCAATTGTTAGGGAATATTTATCATATTTTGAAGAGTTATTGCACAATTGTGATATTTATGAAGTTCCCCATATCACGGCATCTAAATTTATCGTCGGTTTGAATCCTGAAATCATACGTCACGACATTCATGAACTCCAATCCTTGGATGAAGCTTACCGACATGCCAACTTACGGGGCACATCCTTCCATCTTTGTCAAGTCTTTCATAAGCTAGGTATATCACCTCAATCCAAATAGTCACCTCCTGAGTCTAGTTGTGTTGCTCTTGAAGAAGAAATCGAGGTTTCTATTGTTGAGTAAATTGAATATTCTAATACCAGGATGAGGAATTATCTATATTGTTGCCCCCTAAGTCAAACAGTCCACATATCCTCGACTACGTGCCGAATTTGATCTGGCATAATCTATTGTATGACTCTAACGTTGACTTTGATATGGTTTTACGTCCACTGTGTGATGCTTCTCAGGTTACCATGTTATCCAATGTCATTGTTCATTCAAACACTTTTCCCACACGTAGCGAAAAAATTGGATAATTCACTTGAACTCAATCTAGTTGACCAGCCGTTGCACTTAAGTGAAGGTTTTCTTTTCAATATAACAGAATTGTTTCCTTATCGGGGTACATTTGGGCCACCGTTTGCATGTCAGTCTAATGTGCTAGTGTGTTGTGCTCCTCATGTGGTTTTCGAGGTTGTTTTTGTGGATGAGTTGCACATATTGTTGCTCACTGGGTTCTTCATCGATATTTGGTTAAAAAGAAGGATCGTCCCCTTTGGTCAGTTCAGGTATTTGGGATTGATATTCAAATCCAGTTGTTGTCGCATGGTTGGTTCCGTTATCTGCTCAAGAAGAAAGATTGCCCTCCTTGGTTAAGAAGTCTTAGTCTATCTTGCCGGAGTCAAGTTCCCTCAACCGAGGAGAAATGATGCAATATTAGAATAGATTTTATTATATTTAATTTCCAGTTTTAAAACACATTTTAGGAAACATTATTAGGGCTGATTTACTAGCTTTTATTAGATATTTCCTTCTTAGAATAGAATTTTTAAAACCCCATATAAAGGGGTCTTTTGCATTATAATAAAACAACTTTTGAATGAATGAATAATTGATATTTCTCTCCTACTTCTCTCCCTCTTCTTCCCTCTTTTCCCCCTCCTTTCTCTTCCTCTCTTCCCTTTCCTCCTCTCCTATAATTATCCTCTTGCACCCTGCGTTAGTACTAGGGGTGTCCAAAAGTCCCGAACCTAACTCGATCGAACCGAACCCGAACCGAACCGAGCGGTTCTTCATAAATTAAATACCCGAACGGGTACCTGAATCGAGAACCGATGGGTAGAGGTGTCAATCCGGGTGGTCCAGGTCGGGTCGGCCCGCCAACATGTGAGCCCGGTAACGGCCCGCGTGAAAAAAAGCCCGCCCTCTCCGGGTTCCGGGCCGGTTACGGGTCGGCCCACAATTTTCGACTACAACCCAGNCAAATGAATATACTTTATGTAGTTTTGCTGTAATATTAATATCTACTTTTTGATATTTGTATGCATTGAATTAATCTTATTGGACGGTTAGTTTTGTATATGTTTTTGAATTGGACTACGTTAATTTGTAAAAGTTGCAAATGAAATGTCATTAATTGTATTTATGTAGTGTTGCTGAAAATATTAAAAAATTTAATTATGATACGGAACCGAACCGACCCGAACCGAACCGAACGGAACCTAACCCGAACGGTTCCATAATTATATTTGTACCCGACGAGTCCATTTATTAAATACCCGAAAGTTTGGGTCGGTTCGGGTGGTTCGGGTCTCTTCAGAACCGAACCGAACAGACGCACGGACAGCCCTAGTTAGTACCTCTTCGAATCAAAGAAGGAAATTCAGAGAAGGAAAATAAAACTAGCATACTGATAAGCATCTGCTATTACACGGAGGGGTAGTTTAGGAAGTGCAGAGAATATGTATCTCATAGCCAAGTAATGAAGAGGAGGAAATGGGAAGCAAAAATTAAGGGTTGATTTGGGAGCGTCCAGGCCCCTCAAATGCCTTGGATAAATTGAAGTACAAATATAATTTGTCTTCGTGTTCTTGAATATCAAACTCAGCATATGCAATTCGTTCAGGATTCTATCATTTAAATGATAGATACCAAAGCAGATTATGAAACAAGCAAACAGAAGTAACTATAATGAAATTACAAGGTTGATGAGCATTCGAGAGGCTCATCCCTCTCCCAATTTCACACTGATTTCTACCTGCCCAAATTAAACTAACCTCCCTCGATTTACAGATAAAAGCCTATACAATTAATTGTATTAAACTCCCATAATACCCCCAATGCTAATGATAATTGAACTAGCTATTAATATGGGATTCTATAACATACCTGCCTTGAAGGAAAAACATCATCCATGAGAGCAAGAACCCTGAAAACATCAAAAAGATAACGAAAAATGTAGGATATGAAAGCCCAAGAGAGCACATTGGGACATAGATTTTACTCACTGAATATCAGTTCTGCTACTACGCAGAATGTTAAGGTTTTCTTTTCTTTTCCCTTTTTTGAGATTTTGATTCAAGAGCTCCTTTGAAAAATGAACATTTTCTATACAGAAACCGGTTCAACATAAGCTCCTATTACTGGACTAAAAGAAAGTGCAATCTATACAATATTAAATCAAGATGCCCCATGCCAAAGGAAAACTTCATAGTGACACTGCCACACCTATCGTGACAAGAACCACAAGACAGTGATGCTACCAGGTAATAGCATAGCAGATCGTGGACAAATAAAAGTGAAAAATATGATAGACAGGGCATAGTGACTGCGAGTGGCCCAAGGAGTCAATTGTTTCAATTCTCAACAGAACAACACTATTTAAATCACAGATTATAGCGTCTCTCTTTCAATATAGTCACTGCCAGTTCTTGATACATCCACCAATCAATTGTTTGTCATAGAAAGTATTCTTGCTGTTTACAAAATAACACATTAAAATTACCACGATATAGTTCGAATGGCGCATCTGATAGTTAATTGACATCATAGTCCAACGACGCCAAGTTTCCTAGTAATGCATATTACAAGAAGCAAAGAATGCTCAATGAGTTCGAATTGTAAATTCTCTTGTTAGAGATCTCACTTTATGAGCATGACAAGTACAACAGAAAATATTCTCTATATTTTAGATGGCTTTGGTTTCTGCACTCTCACCTATTTCCTTGGACCTTTCTTGTTAAAATGACTTAACCACTTCATAACAAGCTGACCACTTCATTATGACACTATGTGATGCTAAAATTGTAATCTACAAGTAGGAGTTGTGTAAGAACCTCGACTTCATCGATTCTGACAAGGAGAAATCGGAACTCCAGTACTCACTAAGACTTCGCTTGAAACGGGAACACCATCACTGCTGCATCATAACTGAACTGGAACATTTCTGTCCTGACATACACCAATGTCTTTCACCACTTTTTCTCCCGATGAATTATTTACAGCTCCACAAAGTTCGATAACACAGAGCACTATTAAGTGTAATAAATAACAACAACAAATCCCTGTGAAAGTCATGTTGCATTATTCCAATTTCACCAAGCAATAAAACTTTTCCCCTTTCCATGAGCTCATCCACAAATCCCATTTTCTAAACAACAGAATCAAATAAAAGGAAAAAAGAATAGAATCGGGTTGCATCCGAAGGTCATGCATCAAAATTCACAATTCTTCTGCAACCAGAAGTAAGATTGATTTCCAACTCCAACTACAATGCCGCCAAGGAGCTGTGCAGCTTTATTTTTAGATAAGGCCTCAGGGACTTGTAAACTTGAAAATTGGCGGTGCTAATTTGAAAAGGCGATAGATAGCCAAACATGTTGCTTTATGATTATTAGCCGACTTAAATTTTAGATTGTTGTCAAGCAAGCATGTAGAGAAGACAGAAACTTATGTGATAATATTAAGAAGCAGATAAATCGCCATAATTAGTCATCAACCAGTCAAACCAGCCCAGTTTTTAAAGGCAACCAATGCTTCCATTTTCCTAAAGTTTCTCTTCCTCAACTTTGACACTTTCAGCTTCTTATGTGTCTCCATGAATGCTTGTTTGTACCTCCACTTATCAACAAATATTTTCATCTCTTGAGATTTCTCGACAACTTGCATGACAGCATCAAAGAACCCACCCTTAACCAAAGCATAGAGGAAAGCATCAACCAAGCTAGTATCCAATTCGAATCTCTTCTCTCCTTCAATTGAAACCTTCCTCTTCACCTCGTTCCACAGCATCAACACGCTGAAGTATTTCGCTGCAGCCACATATCCATTAATGAGGGATAGATATGTCTGCTCATTCGGTTCAAACTGCAGGAAAATCATCCTCCTGAAAGTCCTTCTTGCATCTTCCAACCGCCCAGCCTTACAGAAGGCATGAATAATCGAATTCCAATCATGGGTACCCACCTCAGCTCGGGGGTCCTCAACAACCTCGTCCAAGAATGCTGCCATGAGCTCAGGTCGATGGTTTTCTGTTAAACCTGTCATTATCGTCAGATAACTGCCTTTCAAGTCACGTATTCTTGATTCTCTCATGTCTCTAAACAGAGAAAATGCTGACTGAAAATCTTGGCATGACATGGATGCTTCTATAAGAGCTTCATAGCTACCAACATCCAACTGAAGCCCCAAACTAGTAATTTCCGTAACCAATTGAGAAGCTTCAGCTGTTCTTTGTTCTTTGCCGTAAGCTTTCAAGATGGACGCATAGACCCCAATTCCAACAGAAGCCCCTTGAGCATTCATTTCATCAAGCACGTTATGTGCCTTGTCCAATAATCCGAGACTAACACAAGCATCAATAATAGCGTATCCTATTGATCTTTCTACTGAAATGGATGAAGATTCTAACTTTTGGGCCTCAATAATCAAATTTGCCAAATCCTTGATGCTCCCATTTTTGAGAAATACTTTGACCACCTCATTATATGTTTCTTCACTAAACTTCAAATCTTGTGCTTCTCCCTCTTTCAAAGCACTCAGAATTGTAACCGAAACAGATTCCAAATTACCAGATTTCAGATACCCGCTAATCAGATTCTGAAGAAAAACCCTTTTATCAGAAAAACCAAACCTACTGATTAATCCTTTTAACTCGAGTATCTTCTCCTCAAGCCCCTTAGTGGCATACAAATAAGCAAGTAACCCAAAACTAAATTCATCAGGCCTAGTGCCCAAAACAGACATTGTGTCAATAACCTTTTCAGCATCACTAACTGATTCAAGCTCATGACAACAACACTCCAATGCAGCATTACACAAAACCAAATCAGGCTTCATAAAATCCAACTTCTCATCCACGGCTATCCTACAACACTCATTAAAAACGTCCAGAAAACCAATAAATCTACTATTTTTTCGACAAATGTCAACTAAAACATTACCCCACATTCCAAACGGCATGAAAAACCTGTTCTTTAGCATGCAGTTGACTAATGCAAAAGCAGGAGCACCAGTGTTGGCAATCCTCATAGAATCCAAAAGGGCCTTCACAGTCTCATACTCCAACAAATTTGGACTCTTCTCAAGCACAAAAACTACTGACGCATATGCTCTCTTGAGATTATGAGTATCAGAGAATGAGCACAAATGGGTGATTAAAGAATTGGTAAGGGGCTTACTGGGGAAAGAAGAACAATTGGTGAGAGTCTTGAATGACTTCCATGCCTCATCTGTGTTGCGGTTAAACAGGGATTCTTGGAGGGTGGTTTCATAGTTGGACTTCTGGGATTGGGTAAGGGATTTTGGGGCCGGATTTTCTTGGATTTTTTGTAAGGATTCTTGGGATTTTGTGGGTCTTTTTAGAGCAAAAATTGATGGTTGGAGGAATGAATAAAGGCTTGGGATCTCTGGTTCTGAAGAAAAGGGTCTTTTAGTAAACAAGAAGGAACTTCTTCTCCACATTCTCTTCTTCCTCCTCTCTCCGTCACTCGGAAGACGCGTATGCTAATAATGAAGAGGTGCTTTTTCTCTGTTATTTTATAATTCTTGCAAGTGGGCCTTCCTTCAAGTTTGGGCTGAACCGTTGGGGATCGTCATTCGAGATTTTTAAAGTGCTAATTACATGAAACCATACTTTAAGTTTTAAAACTTTTAAAATCAAATTGGAAGTTTAATATTTTCAAAATCAGATATTTTATTTTAATTAAAATCTTTATAAAATAAATAAGCTGCAATTAATCCCTAATTCTCACCTCTTCCTTTATCTCTCTAAATCCTTTCTCTCTCTAAATCTCGTCTCTCACCTCTCGACCCTCTCTCTCGCACCACCTCTCTCTTTCTCTCTCTCTCTCGACGACGTGGAACGGCGATTTTGGATTTAGCGACGACGATGGATTTGACAGTTGGATGGCGATATGTTGTTGGTGTGTTTGGTGGTGATGGTTTTTGGTGACAGTGGAGGTGGAGGTGGAGGTGGTTGTTGGTGGAGGTGTTGGTGATGGTGGTGGCATCGTCGGCCACGTGTGAGGGTGGTCGCAAGTGGCGATGGAGACATTGGATGTCGTGGTGGTACGTGACCCATTAGTTGACCTGTGACCAACTATTTGGTCACATGCGACCAATTATGTAACTGTGACCCTTAGCATTCGATAATTTGTGACCTTAAAATTCGAATTGTGACTCACAATTGATTAGGTTGTGATCAAAAAATTAATTTGTGACATATAAAATTTTTGATTTGTGATCGAGAAATAAGTCGTGATCAATAATTTGATAATACGTGACTAATGAAATAAACTGTGACCTATAAAATTTTTGATCCGTGACCTATAAAATTTTTGATTTGTAACCTCGAAATAATTTGTGACCTACAAAATTTTTGATTCGTGACTGATAAACAAATTGTGACCTTTAAAATTATTGATTTGTGACCATGAAATAATCTATGACCTCCAAAAATTTTGATCTGTGACCGATATACAAATTGTGACCTATAAAAGTTTTGGACTGTGACTTGAGTTGTGACATAGGCTGTGACTCGTGAATTGGACTGTGACTTGGGCTGTGACTCGTGACCTGAGTCGTCGGAATCGAAGCAGTCGTTGAAAACGGTCACTGGAATCGGAGCAGTCGCCAGAGCGGTCGCTGGAATCGAAATAGTTGCCGGAACGGTCGTCGGAAGTTCGTCGGAGTAGGGAAGTGATCGGAACGGTCGCCGAGCGGTAGGGATGTGAAAGTGGGATGGATTAATTATATTATATTAAAATTAAATATTTAATAATAAATTAATTTAATAATTTATTATTTCATAAATAAAAATTTTAAAAATTTTAATAAAAATTTGATTTTGGTAATTTCAAACTCGTTTTCTTTTTTTTGAAATAGGCTAAACTTATTCTCTTAAATATGTAATCTTCCCATTTTTAAATGGCATGGTCAAATCTCATATTTCCATTTTCAATTTTCAACAATGGCATTCTGAATTATAAAAGATAAAAATGTTCTTATAAACAATACAATTACAAAAAATAATTTTTAACTAAAAGACAATATTATCCTTTTAGTTAATAAATAAAAACCAAACACTTTCCACATAAAATTTCAAAATCAGCTAATTTTTCTTATCTGTTTATTCCAACACAATTAAAAATTCTCTCATTTTTCATTTATTTTAACCTCAAAATCTCATAAATTGATCAAAGACTAAACAAGAATTTTTTTGTTTTTACGTCTATCATTTCGAATCAGTAAATACAGTATGTTTAATTTCGTTTTCGCTAAATTAGTATACATTTTTAATCGATAAATCTTATTTTGAAATAGATTAACATGTAGATAAAAAATTTTAATAGATCTATAATTTTTTTAAACGTAAACAACAAAAAAAATTCATCCACATATCATGATCGTCGTAACAGCCGGCTGTTGGCCAGCAGGCTGTTGCATCTATTACGGCCAGTGGTTGGGTTGATTTTCCAACTATTTTTTCTATATGATTAAATATTATATTTCGTCATGTAGATGTGGTTGTAGATCCAATTTGTTACTTTGGTTATTACGAATTGGATGAAAAAGATCAATGTATATGAAAATTGTCGAGTGATATATGTGGCGGTATTTGTATTTCCATAACAGTCGGCACATCAAATGCGGAAATGTACCATGATTTAGCAAAAACAAGCTCAAAGTCGATCTTTCTCAGTACGATATGGAACTGAAATTTAAATTCAACGAGCATTCATTCATTCCGATTCCACCTATGACGGTTGCTTCGGATGTTGAAGTGAATTACCTATTTGAATTGAACAACATGTGGACGACTCCTTTTTGCGTGACTTTCATAAGGAAGAATGCTACTGAAGGTGAACTCGAAGAGTCGGATGGAGACACAATGCTAATGATTTTTAAGACACGGAAGAGATAGCCTGGGAGGATGATGTGGTTATTCCCGAGACAGTTAATCCTCATTGTGATTTCGTTGTTACACACAAAATTCCATTAGTAGTTCGCGACAACGAGAATGATAATGATTTACAAATAAAGATTTGACTGCTTTATCTCGTTAAAGACATGAGTGGGGCGGGAGCGTATGGGCTAGATCAAGTGGACCATCATCTAATTCTTTGCGAGTAGTTCCTGATGATATGGATTTGTATTGTCTAGAAACTGTTTGAAATAAAGAAAAATTTGTAGGAAACTGCGATCGAATTGCACTGAAATACAACTTTGAGTTCAAAGTGAAGAAATCAAACAAGTCGTTGCTGACGATTGTCTGGGTCAACGACAGTTGTTGTTGGCATTTACGAGTGATGAAAATGTACACGAATCAGTTTTTTGTAGTTCGCAAGTATACAAGGAAATATACTTGCGAAGTGGGAATTCGTTGAAATGATCACAGGCAAGTCCGTCCATGGTTTATTGGTCGATAGATAATGCACAAGTATTAGGACCTACAAACAATCTACAGACCATCGAACATCATTAATGACATTCGTCGAGAGTACAGAGTGGTCACGAGCTACCGAAGGTTTGGAAGGCCAAAGAATGCACGTTGGAATACTTAATGGGCTCGACCAAGGAGAGTTATGCTAAATTAGCCAGGTATTGCCATAACATTGGTATAATTAATCCTGGCTCTGCATTTTTTATTGAGATAGAGGGCCAGAATTGGTTTAAATTTTTCTTCATAGCTCTTGGATAATGCATTTGGAGATTTCGAAATGCGATGCGACCCTTAATTTTAGTCGAGGTACAACTCTGAAAGCTAGATACGAAGACAAGTTAATTATTGCTACGTATCAAGATGCCAACATTCAAATTTACCTTCATATATTTGACATAGTCGATAGCGAGAATGATTTGTCAATGCGTTAGTTCATCACAAAGCTGAGGAAAGTAATCAGAAAAGTCGAGGTCCTTGCTTTTGTAACTGATCAGAGACCATCCATAATAAATGGTATCGCTGAAGTTTTTCTCGAGACACATCATGGGTATTGCATGTACCATATACAAGGCAATCTGAAGACTAAATATCGGGACAAAGACATTATTTCATTATTCAGGAGAACGGTCAAAACTTATAGTGTCGAAGAGTGCAATAAATTCATAGCAAAAATAGGGAATAAATCATTACCCGACATGGAAGTATCTAACAAAAATAGGAATTGAACATTGGGCGAGATCACATTTTTCAGGACGTCGATACAATATGATGATGTCAAACAATGTGAAATCTCTCAATGCATTATTCAAAAAGGATCTAGAGTTACATATCCTCACAATGATTGAGAACATTCGTAACAAGCTATAGCAGTGGTTTCACGATCGACGTGCAGAATCATAGATTTGCACGAAACGTGCTAGCCCTGGCTCAAGAGGATAAACTCTTCAAGGCTGCAGAAGTTGCGAGAAAGTTGAATGTGGAACCACTGGATGACTCGCGCTTCTCCGTGAAATGTCCACATAATATGGCATACATGGTGGACTTGACTGATAACACCTGCACTTGTCGATTTCAGTTGGAGAGTTTTCCATGTGAGCATGCAGTTGTGGTGGCTATGTTTAGAGGTTTTGCAGTGAGAACCTTATGCTTTCCTTATTACAATGCTGATTATTGGAGAGTAGCATATGCTGAAAATATATTTCCTCTATCGAATGAAGTTGAGTGGGAAGTTCCCGACCATATTCTCCCACTTAATAATTTGGTTCCACCTAAAGTTGAACCGCGTGATCCTGGACGTCCACGTACATTTAGAATACCATCTATTGGAGAGTTTCCTCGACTGCGTATGTGTAGTAGGTGCAGAGTAATAGGGCATACTCGTCAATTTTGTACAAGTCAAATTCACCTCGATAACAATTAGACCAATGTGTAATGAGTAAATTTCGATACCGACAATTTGTTTATAATATTTACAATTATTTGACAAATAAATAAACAATTAAATTTCGATATTTACAACTTGTTTGCAATATTTATAATTATTTGACAAATAAATAAACAATTAAATTTCGATATTTACAATTTGTTTACAATATATTCAATTATTTGACAAATAAATAAATAATTGAATTTCGATATTTACAATTTATTTACAATTATTTCACAAATAAATAAACAATTTTGATATTTACAATTTGTTTACAATATTTACAATTATTTGACAAATAAATAAATAATATTCACGGATCACAATTGAATTCATATAAATTGCACGCTGACTTATTCCTTCAATTTTGTATCCAGGATTAGTTGATTTCATCAACCTTATGTGCAATACTCAAAAATTCGACATACTTTATTGCAAATATATCACAATCGCACTGCAAAGAAATAATAATGTATTAATTCGGTCAGTACTTTGTAGCGAAAAAACTAAGTATTAAAATTAAAATGAGAATTTGATTGTTTTATCCCGTCAAAGACATGAGTGGGGCGTGAGCGCAAGGGTTCGATGGAGTGA